GCTGTCCCCCGGGTAGAGTGCCGTGGCATCACAGCTCACAGCAACCTCCAACTCCTGGGCTCAAGCGAGTCTCCTGCCTCAGCCTCCCAAATAGCTGGGACCACAGGTGCCCACCACAGCGCCCAGCTATTTTTTTGGTTGTAGCTGTCATTGTTTTGGCAGCCGGGCTGGATTCGAACCCAGCACCTTAGGTGTATGTGGCTGGCGCCTTAGCCACTTAAGCCACAGGCGCCGAGCCCTGAATCGTGATTCTGAACTAACATTTCCTCATAGGAGTATAAACATTTACCTAAGACTTACAGATAGCTTCAAGAGGATAAATGTCCCCAACACTTTCCCTGAGGTGCAGAGAACCCAGTTGACCCACATGGGGAATGGAGCCCCCTAGGCAGAGCTCCCCCCTGACTCCCACTTATATGCCTCAGTTTCCTCATCAGCACAGTGGCCAGAACAATGCCAGGGTGGACAGAAGGGGCATGAACTCACATAGCATAGATCAAGCCAAGATCTGGTCTCTCCTGGCCATGCCATTGCCGCCTCTGCCTTGGGTGCCACTCACGGACCCCTGCGGTCCCCAAGTACCAGATGGCCTCTGGCTGGCTTCCCCTCCATGCCCACGCCACCTCATCTCCAACACCCTCCATCCTAGACATCTCACCACCCGCCCCCTGCCTATTCCACCATCAGGGCTGCCCAGGTGCCCTGGCCTCAACTCAGTGAGCATGCTCCAACCCACATGTCCAGCACTGCCCTTGCTCCTGAGTGCCCCACCGCCTTTAACTGCACTCCATGGGACAGCCGCCAATCCCAACTGGGGCCTCCACCCTTCCCTGCCACTCATTTCTGAGGCGATTGGTGGTACGCCCACCTCCTCACTGCCCACTACAGAGCTTGTGGCCACTGTTTCCCTGACTTTCCATTCTAGCCACAGGGAGAGTCTGAGTGACCAGAATCCCCAGCAGCCTGGTTTTGCAACACCTCAAACCCTGTGAGGTCTGTTTCCAGAATCCTGCTGGGGCCTTGGGTCCTGTGTAAAGGTGACTCAGGGGCTGGAACCTTAGGCTCAGATCCTCACCTGGACCCAGTTCTCTGAAGTACACATTTCATGGCACCATTACATGTCTGTTCTCCTTTGGAGGACCCACACATTTCAACTCAGTCTCTCCAGGGCATAAAATAGGTGGCTAATATGCATTCGTTCATCTTCTACACAACTCTTCTAGATGAAAAATGCCATTGCAGGCCAAGTGCAGTGGCTCCTGCCCATAATCCTAGCGCTCTGGGAAGCTGAGATGGGTGGATCACTTGAGTTCAGGAGTTCAAGACCAGCCTGAGCAAGACCCTGTCTCTAAAAAATAGCCAGGAGTTGTGGTAGGTGCCTATAGTCCCAGTTACTTGGGAGGCTGAGGCAAGAGGATGGCATGAGCCTAAGAGTTTGAAGTTGCTGTGAGCTGTGACACCACCACGGCACTCTACCAAAGGGTGACAAAGACTCTGTCTCCAAATAAATAAATAAATACCACTGCACTCTTTACTTCGCCCCTTCTTGTATGTGGTACCACTTTGAGCCACATTTGGGTTCTGAGGCTCTCACCCTCCTCCCCATCTAAGCTGATGCCCTCAATGCAGCCCCATGAGGGGTGAACAGATTGCTCTGGCTCTGGGAAGTAGGCGGATGTTAGGAGAAAACAAAAACTGGGGAGTAGCCACTTGGCAATCTTTATAGGAACTCTTTTCTGATTAGTCACAGCAAACAATGGGCTATTGACTTGGCTTTTCTGAGCTGTTAATTAGAGAAGGAAATTCTTATCTACCCCACCCTCCCCAAAGGGGGTGAAGGGAGTCTGGTGGGCAGCTGTGGAGTGCGAGGGGCACACACAGAACACAAGGTCTGTTCATCTACTCTCCACCCCTTACAAAAGCTACCAAATGGGACTGCTCACTTCCTGGGTCATTCAGGTGTCTTCCTCCAAAGTTTAGTGATGGTTTTTCAAGTCAAGTTGACTTTCTAGGCTCCCTGCAGTTTTCTTTTCTCCCACACCTCCCGAGTAGTTTGAAGGAGCTCTTGGATGGATGAATGGTCTCTGCAAATCCCAGAAACCCTCCGACACTGGCATGTACTCACTACTTCTTTTTTTTTTTTTTTTTGAGACAGAGTCTCAAGCTGTCACCCTGGGTAGAGTGCTCTGGCATCACAGCTCACAGCAACCTCCAACTCCTGGGCTCAGGCGATTCTCTTGCCTCAGCCTCCCAAGTAGCTGGGACCACAGGTGCCGCCACAACACCCAGCTATTTTTGGATGCACTTGTCATTGTTGTTTAGCAGGCCTGGGCCAGGCTCAAACCCATGACCATCAGTGTATGTGGCTGGCGCCCTAGTCACTGATCTACGGGCACTGCCCACTTCTTTCTTTTAAATCTATTTTGCTATTCATGAAGCAGTATTAGAACCAGTTTGGCAAATTAATTTTAATATACAGATACAAAACAACAAGTATAGATTCACAGCATTTACAAGAAATCATTCAAATAGCATTGTATTTTTTTTTTTTTTACAAAAAACTTCATTTGACAAAAATACATATCAAGTTAAAGCAATCTTGTACACCGTACTTCAGCTGTCCACAGCAAATTCATCAGTTTGGAGGCCACTGCCGGACTTACACAGAGAACATCACCTTGAGGTTGATGAGTTAAAAGGCTGCCAAGGGCCTCGCAAAGCAGGGAAGCAAGTCATACACAATGGACGCTAGTATTTACAAAAAAGACCAGAATTAAATTATAGAATCAGTTCAAAGTATTTTCTAAGCACAAAATGTGGAGGCCTCTGCGACAGCTAATGGCAATCATGAAAAGTGCGTTGCTGCTCTGTGAACTTCACCAAATATTTCAGCTTCTGGTTTTCTTTCTTCAGCACCAGCTACTTTCTACTTACTTTTTCCAAAGCCTTTGGAACTCTACTTTCATTGCAGTCTGGAAACAGCAGCCATTAGCCAAAGGAAATTTTAACAGAGAGAACAACTGGTAGGTTAAGCTTATCATAGGGAAAACTGGTCTGCTAGCAGTTTAACCAACAAGTTGATTGGTGGCCAGAATCCCTGGCCTGCGAGCCACTGATGGCCATTACTAAGTGTCCAGTGAGGGACCTTCCATGTTTCTCTTCTCTTTGATGAACTAATAATGCAGAAATACTCATCAGGCTCTTCTTTTCTGGCTAGTAAACACGTTGATTTGTATCGAGGAATATCAGGAATTTAGGTGTGCAGAGTTTTCTGGATCACCCGGCTTTCCCAAAAGATTTCTAGCATGAACCAAATGAACTTCTGCTTTGTGACTAGATAACAGAAATGTAAAAGGTGGGGATTTCCTGAACAGGCATGGTGTTAAGTCTTTGTCTGGTTTAGGTATAAAAGGCCTGACAATGTTCAGAAATAGAACTGAGATGGCAGTGAAATGTTTTCAACGACAAAATCAGATCTACCAATGGGAAGTCAAAATCTGATCTAATGAAAACAATCTATGCAGACAGTGTTCCAGGAAAGCGCTGGCAAATTCCTGCCACCTTCTTTCTAGTTTGCAGACCAAAGATAAAGAATACTGTTACTCTACGATTTCACAAATATTCTATTTTATAATTGGTTATAACTGCAGGATTATAACCAATTATAAAATAATTGCAGAATTGCAGGATTGTTGCAATTATAAAATACTGCAGGATTGTTATACATTTTAGCAGTGATCAAAATTGACAAGGATACTTTTGGCCAAAGGCCCTTTCAACTGTTTTTCAGCAAAACTGACAAATTCTGAAACATGAAAGATTCCGTTTAGGTGAAATTCATCAAAATAGTGTATCACCTTTTTTCTTTCTTTTTTTTGGCTCACCCACATAATATAAATGTCAAGTTACAAAGGCAGACAGACAGGAGGGAGCAAGACTCCCAGTGCGGTTCCCACACCAGCCACTTAGGAGGCTCTTTGTTGTTTCTTTTTTTTTCCAAGTGGAACATGTCACTTAATCAAGAAGGAAGTTGGGGAAGCCAAAAATGAGCTTCCCTGAGGCCTTGCATTCTTTGAAGAACTCAGGTATTTGTTAATAAAACCCAAGCTGGATGTATAGTTTCAAGAAATCTTTTATCCTTTTAAAAATACATTAGCAGTTTTTGAAATCACCTGAACACCCAAGGAGGTCCTACTTGGACTGATATTTGATCGAGTGACTCTCACAGTGCGTATGACTGACTGGGGCAACCTCGGGAGTGGAGCTGAACCAGACACAAACACACCCCGGTATTCGTGACTCTCTGCTGGGAAGTCCATAGAAGTAGGTGGGAACCAGAAGTTAGGGCTCAGCTGGGAAATAAATTAGGACTGGCCACAGAATGGGAAGCATTTCTTCATCGCCCAAGAGTGGATTATTAGGAAATGGAAGCTCTAAGGCTGGCGGGGTCCTCGCTGAAAATGTAACATAAGCAAATGAGTCTCCACTTCCTTACAGCAACTCCCTCATATTACATTAAAAAACAATTGTTCGAAATTGCTGTACATACAAACGACTCTATTTAGCACAGAGATTGCCCCCCCCCCCACAGTTATTGCTGAGATGTCCAGGAAAAGCTCCATAAGTATAGTTTCCAAAATATATCACTGTATTTTGTTAGTAAAAATGTCAGTTATAGAAATGCAACTAACGTTGAAATGTCTTTTCAAGAAGGAAATACACATATACCCAGCCTCCCGCTATAGCACCTCCCAGAATGTTTCTCAGGGACCAACTTCTACCTCAGGGCACACAGAGTGAAGGTCCACAGAAGCAACCCTGGGGCCATCGGGCTGCGGCACCCCAATCCCTCAGCCGTGCTGCCCACGGGCAACATGCCAAGGTGGCAGAACAGGGCTGGGAACAGAACGCTCGAAGGGTTTGGTCTGAGAGGGCCAGGGTTTGTTTCCTCATTGTGTGATGTCATTCCCTTAAGGAATCCCTCTCAGTATGGGGGGAGACCGGGGAGACAGGAGGAATATGTAGCTGGGAGACTGAAGAGGACTTTGACATCACGGATCTGCTTATTCTCAAACATGGGTCTACTAGGAAAAAGAACTTTGCAAGGGTGGCATTCAAAAATGAGCTTTTCATACACAAATCCCCAGGCTGCGTATCCAGGGCACCGAGCAGGTGAGAATGGCGCCTCCCCCGGGGAGCCTGTCTTCTCCAGACTTAGCTAAAATTTATTTTCATCAAAATGCACAACGTATCTGCAGGTTATCAGCCTGTGTGGCCTTCGTTTAAAAAAGAAGACTGCTATCTCCGAGTCTGGATATTTTGTTAAGGTCTCTTTTATAAAGAATTAGCCATCAGAAATCTGTCACATCCTCCTGGTGGCACAGTTATGTGCTGTGTGACAAAGGCGGCTTCAAATCCCCAGGAAGCAGGACTGCTCTGCTCCGCATGTTTTCTCCATGGAAGGTACGTGTCTTTATAATTCTGTTACAATTCCGTGAGGCTCTGTGGAACACTGCAGGTGCCCTTGGAGAATGCCTATTCACTTGAGCATCAAAATCAGAATCAATGGGCTTCATATCACAAAAAGTTATTGGAATGGCAGGGTTTCTTAGGTTATGGCATGTGGGCAAGACGGGACTTCTGCTTGTGGAGTTACTCAAGGCAGGAGAGGGCCTGACCTAAGGACAAGCCCCGCACACAGTAGGTTTCTCCTGCCTTGGCTTGAAAGCAGCAGTATCTGGAGGATGTTTCGGTCAGTCTCGATAGCAGACCGCGCTGCCAGGCAACGGACACACCATTCATTGTCTTCTCCCCTTTGCTTGTAGGAAGAGAGATCTAGTGAGGCGAAGGCTGCACTACCACCATTTGGCAACTGCTGCGGACACCAGGGAATACCACGGGCGTCTCACAATAGCGGGAGGTTCCCCAACACTGTGGAAAGGACTGAGAGCTCACTTTCCAGAGGTGCCCAGCTGCGTGCTAATAAGAGACGGCGTGGGACCAACCCTGTCTCCACGATTCCCTTCAAATGCAAAAGGGATTTTCTAACCTAGTCCCCGCTTAGGAGCTGAAGATCTCTCGACGTCCGTGCTGAGCCATAGCAGGAGCTTGTCCATCCCTGACGGGCCAGACTTGCTGAAGCCCCAGTCTCAGTGCTCCTTTGAGATCACAGTACGAGTTGGCCACCTCACAGCAGGTCACAGGGCAAGGGGCTCTCGTAAAGGATAAAGCTGAGCGTCACGACTTTCCATGAAGGCAGCCGGGTTTCTGAAGACGGAAGGTGAGTCCAAGTCCTTCTCTCCTTCATTGATCCCTAAAAGATTTCAGCACAGGGTCCAAGAAACTTTCCTTGGATTTAAGCACAGAACAGACGGAAACGGTTCCCTCTTGACGCTTGTCTTGCTGGACTACGGCCCTCCCTTTTCACTTCCGGAAAGGGGTGAGTTTGTGGAATGTGTGCCAGAAGAGGGAGGGCTTCCTCTTGGGCTCCGCCAGGGCAAACACCTGCTGCTGAGGGACGCTGGGGGGCACCGTCACGTGGCGCTGCTGGAGTGGGTGCAAGCCCTGGTGCGGTGGGGCCACGGGGCATCCACTGTAGCCTAATTTGGAAGGGGAGAAAGATAGAACAGGGACTGAGGGTTAACCAAAAAGGCAAAGAAAAGTGACAAGACTCAAAGTTCTTCACTAATTCTTAATTCACATTAACCAAAAGAACATCTGGTAGCTAAATGAGAAACACTATGTTCAGATACTGTGTGTGGAGCCTGAATCCCCCCAGAAATCCTCCAAGGAGGGTGCTATTACCCTAAATCGAGAGGGAAGGAAACCAACAGCTACAAAGGTTATGTGGATCACCCACGGCAACGCCGTCGTTAAGCGGCAGAATTAGAAACCCAGTAGGGAGCGAAACAATAAAATGCTTTAAATGAAAACCTGGAGCTTGGATGCCCCAGCCCAAATCCTTCTCTGCCACTTACTCCCTGTGATTATTGGAGAAATCTGAGAAATCATTCCATTTCTCTGTGCCTCAGTTGCCTGATCTCTAAAGTAGGGGGTCATAATACCTGTCAGGCTGCTGTAATAATTAAATCAGTTACAAGAAGGGCTTAGAACCATGTCCCCAATACTTAACTGCTCTAGTCAAAACTGTCTCATTAGAGTATGCATTTTATTTATTTAGTTTTCTTGACAGTCTCTCTTTGTCTCCCAGCTGAAGTGCAGAGGCATCATCATAGCTCACTGCAGCCTTGAACTCCTGGGCTCAAGTGAGCCTCCTGGCCCAGCCTCCCAAAGCGCCAGGATTACAAGTGTGAACCACTGTGCCTGGCCCAGAGTAGGCATTTTAAATCTGTGCAGAGGTGATGTAAACAGTTTCTTAAAATCAGCTATTAGATTAAAAGATAACTATGTAAGTGAGTGTGACGTGATGAAAGGGAGTTGTCAGGGTCTGCTTCTGACACCACTTGTCAGGGCTGGGACTAGGTAGGTTCCGGACATGGACTGCTAAGCTACCTTGCTCAGGAACAGTTTCTCTTAGGCGCTTGAGGGCTATCTACTTTAGCTGGAGAGAGAGAGAAAGCGTGTATCTTAGAGAGAGTAAAGCAGTCTTCTTAGAACAGATAGATCTTAGTCTTTAGCAGAGCTTGGTAACCTTCAGCAGAGAGACGCCGTGCTGGCGTTCTGCAGGCAGGAGAGGAGACAGAGTCAGAGTAAGTGGATCTGTGATAGAATGTGCATGCTTTTTGACTGCCTTCTCCTCCAGCCTAATATAAGGCTGATCTCGTGCCTCTCAACACCACAGGAGTAGAGACTGCCAATTCCGCAATGCTTTCACCTCAAGAGCTCTCATACTTGTTAGGAGATCTAAATCTCTCTCCATGCCCTTTCCATCAAGGTGTTCCATTACAGGTATTTCCTATAACTCTCTCCTCTTAGCCATAGGCTTATATGGGCTGCTACAGGGAGTGCTTGAGAGGCAGGCAGGACTTGGCTCAGAATCTACCCCTGGCTCTGACCTGCCATAACACTTTCCTCCAGGGCGACAGGAAGAAAGAAATAGGATAGCCCACATAGAGTGCCAGACCCTGTAGCCACTCATCATCATCAATGTTCACTCCATTCTTCAGCCTAGCTGCTGGGCGAGAGACTCTTAGAAGACACAGAAACTAGTAACAGCTCACAAACTGATAGTTACTGGTGACCTGCCATTAACTGTGGAGACACCCACATATGCATGCACAAGGACTACAATTCTTTTTCTCTGCATTCAAGATATTTATAACTTAGTGGGGAAAAAAAAATCTGCATCTGTGGCTCTGGGCCCATAGCACAGTGGTTATAGCGCTAGCCACATACACAGAGGCTAGTGGGTTTGAGCCTGGCTGGGGCCAGCTAAACAACAATGACAACTGCAACAAAAAATAGCTGGGCATTGTGGTTGGGTGCCTGTAGTCCCAGCTACTTGGGAGGATGAGGCAAGAGAATTGCTTAAGCCCAAGAGTTTGAGGCTGCTGTGAGCTGTGACACCAAAGCACTCTGAGGGCGACATAGACAGACTCTGTCTAAAAAAAAACAAAAAACAAAAAACAAAAAAAACCCGCATCTGTGTGGGAAAGCAGGGATTGCTCAAAGTCATTTTGGCAATGAATTCTTCTTGGCCTGTTAGGTGATGGCCTATCATAGCATAGTCCTGGGATTAACAGGTCCTTACTTTTGCATTTTTAATTAGGAAAATATTGAATGGAATAAATTTGGTAAATCCCTTTTAGAGTAGAAAGCTGATTATTTGAACAAAGTTTTTAAGAATGCAATGCACATTTTTGGAATAAACATCCCTATTACTGAATTCCTGTTGGGCTAGATCATTTCTGTCATCTGCATTGTTAAAAATCTTTGAGCTTTAGGACCCCTGGGTATGTGGCCTGAGCACTGAATTCTAATGTGCGCAGCAGACAGTGAGTCACTGCTGTAAATAAGCTCCTGTGTCGCCTGACGTGATCAACTTCTTTAGATCTTTTTTCTTAATCTAGATAAGAATGCAGCCAGCCTAAAGTTAACAAGACAGCTGGGGTTGGCAATTTCCTCCTCTCATGCCCAAGATGCAAGAGTCCTTGGTTTGGCTCAGGCTGATGCCATGTGTGACACCACAGTCCCTTCTCTGTACCACCTCCAAAGACCTCTCCTATGCCCACTCTCCAAACGGAGCCAACACTGATACACATCTAAAGCCAGGTACAGCCTGACTTTCAGCTGTCCACTATTTCAGATGTGTCCTTTGAGTTTTAAGTCACACTTCTCTCCTTTGCTCAGAGCTGGTCACAGGCTAACAACTTCCCCCACTTTCACCGGAATACCAGTACACATGATGGAGACAAAGCCTTCTCCAAATCTCACCTTTTGACTTCCCTTGTCCTGCCTTTTGAGCATTTGACATGGCGAGTTTCTTCTGATTTTCTGAAATTTCCATTCCTGAAATTAGAGACAAAAGTGACATATGTTCAGAATCAGTGAACACATTTTGGAATACAACTTACACCACAACCCCCATCAGCACTGCTCTGTTCACCATCTCCTGAGGCAAAGAACCTTGATCCTCAAAGAAGCACGAGAGGCGTTAAGATGGAAAGGGGAAGTCGCAAAGACTATCACCGGTGGCCACAGAGCTATCTTCCAGATCCAGACATTTTTAAGAGTGAAATGGCATACTGTTTTATAATAAGATGCACACAGGCTATTTGGGTAAAGCCAGACCCTCCTGAGGCAATGTCCACACAGGGTCACCCCTATTATTACCCTAAAGAGTGAGGCCCTGAGGAGAGAGGACAAAACAAGGGTGCCATGCCTGCCCCCCACATGCCATGAACGCTTCGGGAGCTGGCCACTTTCCCCTGGCAAAGGTACTACCTGAGTGATGGTAATCAGACTGTGTGCCCCCAGAGCACACAGCACACACCTTGAACTCCCCTCTGCCATAAAGCCCGAGGACAGAGCAGCGCTGTCTGTGTGCAGGGGGCAGACTGCAAGAAACACAGTGCTGGCAAACTGGAGAGGGGGCCTGCTGCAGCCTCGCAGCCAGGACGTGAGGACAGATGGAAGGACAGAGCCCACCGTGGCTGCGGCTCGGTGCTAGATCCTGTCTTCTCCCGCGGGAAGCCTTCCACAGCTGATCCAGGACCTTCCACCTGTCCCTGCCTTGTCCTGACATCTGGCTTGGGATCCCCAGCAGCCCTTGGCATCTCTAGCATCAGAGGCCCTCCAAGCCCACCCTGGGGCTTGGCCCCCTCCAGCATCTGCCCACACATTCCAGCCAAGGGTCTGCATCCTATTTTATCCCACACTCGCCGGGTTTGGACTCCGTGGCTCAGAAACCCCTCATTCATACAGGCACATCTTCTGACTCCCCACAGCAAGGGAAGAAAAACAGGTCCCTCCTTTCTCTTCTACTGAGGACAGTCTGGAAAGTGGTTAGGGTGCCCCTGTAGGCAGTCACGCTATCTCAGGGAAAACCCAGATGTTCTGACTTACACGTGATTTCAGTGTCTGCACTAGACCACATTACCCAAAGAGTAAAATTACGATTTGTGACTGTGTCATTTTGCATCTTAATAACTGTCATCTGCAACTATCTCCAACATTCTGGGCATGACAGAGTGATCAGCCTTATTCCAATGGGCCTTGGTTCCACACCAATATACACAGCAATTGCTGGGACTCAGATTTCTGCTTGGTCTAAAGGCTGCTCCGACAGCTAAAGGGGCCACCTGTTGAGAATGTTTCTGAGCAGATTCTTGCTTCTGGTGGCAGATTAGCCTAACCTACTTGTAAATCCTTTCCGACTCTAATAGAGGATCCCACAAAAAAACCTCCTATGGGTGAGACCAAAATCCATACCCAAGCTTAGAGCTGGTGGCTGGGGAGGAGGCACATCTGAGGTCTAGGCTCACTTGGGCTGACTTCCTTTTGACAGGTTGTGCTCAAAACCTTAAGGAGCTTGAGGGGCCCTAGAACTGGGGCCTGGGGACTGTGGTGGGGCCATCCCTAACACCAGGCATGGCAGCCTCAGTCTCCTGGGGCCACAAGCTACCTCCAGGCCAGCAGAAGCAAGGGTGTCAAATCAAAGAAGTAGAAGCATAATCATGAGCTGAAAGAGCAACGCCTGAACTACAACATATGGTGTAGGGTTCCTCACTTCATGTGAGGGAAACATGAAGAGCTGCTGGGTGTAAATCCCCCATGGCAGCAAGATGGAGTTAAAGTGCTTTGCAAAAGCACAGCCCCGGGAGACGCCTTAAGAATCATCTGCTACTTCTGTTTTTTCTTTTGAGACAGTCTCTCTATGTTGCCTGGGGTACAGTGCCATGGCATTACAGCTCACAGCAACCTCAAACTCTTGGGTTTAAGCGATTCTCTTGCCTCAGCCTCCCAAGTGGCTGGGACAAGTGCCCGCCAGAATGCCTGGCTTTTTTTTTTTTGGTTGTAGTTGTCATTGTTGTTTGAAGGGCCTGGGCCGGGTTTAAACCCACCAGCCCTGGTGTATGTGGCTGGCACCCTAGCTGCTGAGCTACAGGTGAGGCGGCATCATTTGATACTTCTTTTTTTTTTTTTGAGACAAGAGCCTCAAGCTGTCCCCCTGGGTAGAGTGCCGTGGCATTACAGCTCACAGCAACCTCCAACTCCTGGGCTCAAGCGAGTCTCCTGCCTCAGCCTCTCAAGTAGCTGGGACCACAGGCACCCGCCACAACGCCCAGCTATTTTTTGGTTGCAGCCATCATTGCTGTTTTGGCAGGTCCGGGCTGGGGATTCGAACCCTCCACCTTAGGTGTACGTGGCTGGCGCCTTAGCCGGTTGAGCTATAGGTGCCGAGCCCATTTGATACTTCTGATGGCCTGGGTGAGAGTCACCTCCATGTGGCTCATCCTCTAGAAACACATGAAGGTAGTTTTAAACGCTACTTACTGTCATGTCTCAAGAGTGGGCCAGTTCTATAAACCTCAATTTTCTCATCTGTAAAGAGGGTACAGTAATAGTAGCCCCTTCGTAGGGATTCAATGACATAATCTCTATAAATGTGCAACAGAGGGTCTGGCACAGATCAATGTTGAATAAACACTGCTTGCAGTGACTACATCACCCACCTCTGCTAAGCAAGTTTAGAAGTACTTATGATTTATGAATCCTTCCTCTTTTCCCCATAGTGGGACTGGTCCCTCAAGGAGAGAGCTGGGGCAGACCAGGCATGCGGGGCCAGAGAAGGAGGCCAGAAAGCCGAGCAGCTCACCCATCTCCCGATCCTCCTGCACCCGCCTCCTTTCGTCCGCACAGGCCTGCAGCCACCTGGCTTTGTCTTCTTGTTTTTTGGCACAGAAGAGATGAACCTCGTCCGTGGTCTTACTGATGAGTTTGAAGGCGTTCTTCACGCTGAGGTTCCAGTCCTTGTCCCGCCCGTCCTCCAAGTCCACGAGCTCCACCTGGTCCATATCCAACCGGCCCTTGTAGTACAGCATGTCCCGGCGCAGCAGGTCCTTCTTGCAGGACACCAGCTGGTGGTCAAACAGGAAGAACATCCGCTGCTGGCTCTTGCCTTGCTTAGTGATTTTGGTCAGTTCCCCAGAATGAATCAATTCTGAGCTCCGGTCTAAGATATCTAGTCCCTGGAAGGATAAAAACAAGACCGTAAGATCCTTCAATTCTGATTTCCTCCGTGTCAGGCATGTGGGAGAGGGTTCTGACACCGAACTTTCTCTGACTGTCCAGTTACCTGAGGAACTGCCCTTGTACCTGCCCCTGAGCACTGGTGGGCAGGGACTCAAAGGCCATTTAAACCTCAGTTTATTGGTCTCCATGACATTTCTTTCTTTTCTTCTTTCCCCAGAAAATGTTACAGTACTTGTACATTATCTGAAGTGTCTGCCTTAAGTGAAACCTCTGCTGAGAAGCATGCTGAATTAACAGAACCCAGCCAAGATCTGAAATGGTGACCAAGACTGATCCTTCAAACACAAGCAAGCAATGAGGAGGCTGCAACGTACAGGCACACGGTACTGAGAACTCCTGTGTCAGGTATACGGCAGTCCCTGAAGTAACAACTATTAAAGAGTTTATGGTCTGGGAAACAAAAGGCCAGAGGGCAAATTGCCAATAAGAAATTAGTTATCTTCTGACAAATTATCTAGTAATTGTCCGAATCCAAGATCAAAAGGAAAAACACACTTTTGCTGTATTTAGGTTGGATCAAACCCAGTGTTACTTTATGGTAGCTGGTATGACACTGGCTTTGTTTTGTAAGATTTTGTTCTCCTTTAATCCCAGTCATACACAATATTTTTTGAAGGCAAAAGAGCTTGACTCCAAAATAGTTCTTCTATTTTCTTGCTCAGAGCAATTCCTTGCCCTAGATTCTTCACTTACAAAATAGGGGAGTTGGACTTAGTGTTCTCTGAGGTCCTGTCCAAGCTCCAGAGGGGTATGAGGCCCTTGAAATTATCATATTTCTCCCAACTTTTACTGCTATCACCTGCTTTAGTTACAAAGCTAATTTCTCACTCCTGCGGAGAGTGAGTTCCAATCAATTAGTGGATATAGGAAAATCTAACTTGGTCTAAAAACAACCAGGAATGCATCAGTTTGTCGTTCCTACAGTGGTAGAGCACAGTGGTTACAGCATGGACTTTGAAGTCAGGCCCACCTGAGTTTGAATTCAGCTCTGCCACTTTTTAGCTGTGTGGCCTTGGGCAAACTACTGAACCTTTCTGTACTTCAGTTTCCCCATCTGTTAAGTGGGGATATTACAGTGCCCACTTCGTAAGACTGTTGAGAAAATGAGATGTGGTAAACACAACACAGGGGCTAGCTACTGTCATTGTTGTTTTTATAAATAAATATGCGTGTGCATGTGCGTGCACGTGTGTGTCTGTGTGTCTGTGTGTGTGTATAGACACAGAGAGAGAGAGAGTATTTGCTGGACCATTATTGCAGGTTGCTATGTCAAGTTCTATATTTGTAATGTCTTATATAATGCCCATCATAGCCTATGAGGTAGATAATATTTTCCTCCCTAATTCATAGGATAAAAAAATTAATTTTGCCCAGATCAAACAGAATTCAAATGTGTACAGTGACCCCAGAGTCCCCCATGCACAATGAGGCTGCATTTGAAATGTGCTCCAGTTGTTCCCTGGAGCTTATTCTGTATGGGTTAGATGAGAGCAACCTTGAGAAATCAACTGCAGACACTTTTATTTCTTCATGGAGGTGGGCTATAAAGTAGCTGACTATTAAATTCAGCAACACGCCTCAAAATAAATGCACTATTTACAGTATATGCCATAAAGCCAGGAAAGCCAAGTATGGAGAACAGGATTTTAAAGCATGTCAACACCCATGGAAGATGCAGGAGGGAGTGTGTCTGTGTGGGGGTTCCCACTTACCTCCCAGCCCACAATGGACACCTGCCAGCGAGCTATCTTGTCTATGCTCTCCAGCTTGCGTTTGCGCTCATTGATCAAACAGGCTACGTTCTTCATGGCCTCATATGCTGCCTTTATGTTGCTGTAATCACTGCAAAATGGGAAGTTAATTTTAACCCTGTATCATGGACTTCGCGCATGAGAAATGACAAAATAAGGCACTGGATCCCTGCTTCCTATACTAATAGTCTAGACAAAGAGGCATTTAAATAACAGCCTTTGTTCCCCTTTTCTTATTCCCCCATGAATAGACTATAGTCTGCATACTTAAGGGAGCCAAGACAGTGCAATTCAGAATTCTTCGGAACAAGAATGTTTTCATTCATTTCCCAGAAATCACAATGAATCAAAGTAAATGCCACAAGAAACTTTAGTCACAGTGATAATGAATTATTTTCATTAATACAGAGAGAATGGCCTATCACTGTCTTGATTCTGATAGAACTAGTTTTGCTATTTAAAGCACTTTTAAAAAAATCACTATCCATTTTTAAGAGTAATGATACACTTGAGTTCCATCTTTTATGCTGTCTAGGAGAGGACAGGGAAGGGAACAGCTACAGATCTCTGAAGTGGGGAGTTATGGAAATGCTAATATGGCATTTGCCACACCAAAAGATCTGCATTCCTGGTGCTTTCCGCACGCATTCAGTCACATCAACCTAAAATGTTCTCCCCCCAGCAGGCACGTGTCCCCCCAAGCTCACCAAAGCTATAAGTACTGAGAAGCCTGTTCTAATTGACACACCGGCTAGAACAGAGCATGTTCAGATCTGAAAGTTTTACATTCAAGTTATGCCCAGCATTAATAATCTGCGGATATGTAAACCAACCCCCCCAACTAATGATCTGCACTTTCTACTTTCCAGTGGTGACTTACAGGAAAGGTCCCCACTGGAACACGTGAGAGTCCTACACAGCATGGGGCAAAGCCTTGGAAGCAGATTCTATTGTCCATTTACCAAACACTCAGCTCCAGGGGAGCCAGCCCCTGGCATGGCCTCACCAAGCAGACCCTGTGGCCTTCAGACAGGCCAGTTCACACTCAGAAGTGGAGCAGAAAACAGGAACAAAAACGCCATAAAAGGGCTGCTGAAAGAATGGGTGCAAACCTCCCAAAGAGGCTGCCAACAAGGAAGAAAGGGTAAAAAATAAGTTTTGGTGGAAAATTCCAGAAAAAGAGACAGAATGAAAAGTTTTAGAATTTTTTGCTTTGTTTGACTTACAAAGTGAGTTCCTTTGTGGGGGAGGGTCATTTACTTTAAACTAATATATTTTTTAAAAACAGCCAAAAATTTGTAAATGCTTACAGTGAAAAATGCTCTTAATGGAGAAAAACCAACTATGGAGGACTGATGGGGGGGACACAGCGTCTCCATCTTGGACAGCTGTCTGTCTAAGTCTTCAAAAAGATTTTGCTTTTAATTCTCTTATATTTTTCTGGCTCCTTATCATCATGCCTTTTCATTCTTTCTTTTAAATTTCTTTGACAATTTGTAGAAATTCAGTGTGACCTAAATTCTTTGTACCCTCCATGAATACCAAATACTTATTAAAAACGAAAAAAAACCAAAAAACTGTAGAAATATTTACAACTTAAAACAAAAGTCTTCAAATTTGTGGCTCTCTTGACTTCCCTGATTTTTCCCACTAAACCTTTCTGCTTTTTCTATCAGAAAAAGAAAAAAAAATAGATACAGCTCTCTTTTATCTACTTTAATGAACTCTTCTCTCTTATTCTGTTAGTCCTAATTCTAAAACCCACGTTGAGGGTACATTACATTGCTTTACCTGCCAATCTAATTGTAAACAGCTTCCCTTTTTAAAGCCCTGTCTCTCCACAGGAGTTCAGAAGCTCAGAATGACCCATTCTTCACTTCCCACACGAAGATATTTAGTTGTTAAAACTCACAACTGCTGTGGTTTGCCACAAATTGCCTCTGGGTACAATCCTTTTCCTCTCCCTCTTCTCACTAGGACCCTTCAAGAGGAGCCTCTCAAAGAGCTGCAGGTGGAGTAGAATCCTTGTGCCAGGGACATGGACCTTATTTGGTTGGGTTCTCCCTAAAATAGTAAGTTCTAGCCTTGAACCTTGCACCACCATGTCTGCCTGAGAGTCTGGCACACAGTACGCGGCAGGTGAGAGTGCGATCAATGAACCAGGCACCACCACTACCTCAAGGCACCAAAGAGCTGGGTCATGCTTGGTGACATTTTTCCACAGCATGGAAAATGGGTGTGCCCATTCCAACTCTGAAAGGGGGACATATCTTATGTACCATCACAGCAATGCTTCTGTGCATGCAGGAAAATGATGGTTTGTTATTAAGGAAGCAAGGGATAACTTTTTGGCTCCCCCAAAAGAGACCATATGCTAGAGAAAGAGCATTCAGGTAATGGTAGAAAGCAGTCCTGTGCTCCCAGCAGGGCAGAGAGGAGCAGGGCTCAGCCCTCCGCATCTCAGCACAGCCTGTCTGCTCAGCTGACCCCACGTGCTACTGCTGCCCCTACCTTTTGTGCAGCCTCACCCCTTCTAGAAAGTGACTTTTTAGCCACATAAATATTGCTCTGGAGTTGCTAGGGATCACCCTGAGGAATACAGGAGAGGAGGAATGTCTTTCTGAAACTATTCACACAGTGCCTTTCTTCTAAAAAGGTCTGTTAACTACTGTGTAGCTACAAAGGAGTGTTTATACAACGCACGTAAACAGTAACAACAGCACAAAAATCCCCACAGGCTCATGACATGTTGAGAACCAGCCTTCTGTTTACATAGCTCTAGGAATGGATATCCCTGGAGGCTTTTCAATTACCTTATTTCAGTAGTTAACACATTCTAAATGATCCAAAAACTTCTCCCACAGAGCGAACCCTGAAATGCCTGCGACATCTGCCACCCCGTGCCGCCCTCACCTGTGCTCCTGCGTGGTGTACTTGAGCAGCTCGGCCAGCTGCAGCGGGTACTTGCAGATCTTCTGTACTGGTGTGAGCAAGAAGCCGTCGATGGCGATGTCGATCATCTGCTGCAGCAGGCGGCAGGCCTCAAAGAAGTGCCGGTACTTGCCCTGCTTCATGAGCTGCGAGAGCTCCAGGCAGGCGCCGGGGTGGTTGTTGCAGTACTCCGAGTAGATGGCAAAGCCCTCTTGCTGCAGAGGGGAGAGCACAGATGTGTCAGCTTTGGCCGTGGCTCCACTGGGGCAGGGACAGGTAACACTCTGACCCCTCTAAGGGGCACTTTTGGGAAGGAGGGAATGGATTCAAGCAGGAGCTCTGCTGGGTCTGCTCCAGGGCGCTTCCCGGAGCTCTCCAGAGGTGAGAGAGGCGCTCTGGGACTGGCACACCTGTGGCATTCCTGCTCCCAGCTGTGATCTGATCATCTAGCAGCAGACAACAGGCAGTGCTGCTCTAAAGTCCGACTACCTCCTGCCTCATCATGCCACTTTAACAAACTCCTTGACCAAGAGGTGCCGCTGGACACCTTCACCATGAGGTCACCAGTGCCCTTCTCCTCCTTAACGCTGTAGGGTCAGGCTGTCATGCACGTTGCCCTCTCACCTCAGACAGAAGGCCTCTAGCTCGCTCTCATCTCCCTGCGCTCCCCTCCACCCTGGGCTCCAGGGCAGCATTCTCTCCTCTTCCTTCCACCTGTCCTGTCCTGGGCTCCCTCACCCTTCCGCCATCTGACGGTGCAGTCCCCATGGTGCAGCTCCTCAGCTCCCAGTGTGTCCTTCCCCAGACAACACCTGCCACTGGCCCTGCCCTCAGGGCAACCAGCCCTCTCCAGAGCAGCCTGCCTTCCTGCCCCTGCCCATCTCCACGGCCTGGGCTTGGGTCTGCTCAAACTCAATAGGCCCCAAACCAAACTCTGGTTTCCCTACAAAACATTTTCCAAATCCACCTGCTAATTCTCTGAGACTTAAAGACCACCATGTGGTTCTGACTGCTCTTTTTTCTCTGTTGCTTCCAATCAGTCTTGTCAGGTTTGAACTACCTATTTTAACTTTCTCTTTTTTTCTGTATCCCCAGCAGCGAGCAACGCTCTCCTGATCACTGCAGGGAGACGCATTTCCCAGGGCCACCACCCTGCTCCTGGCCTGACTTCACCTGGTTTCTGCAGCTTCTCTCTTACTGTGACCTAGGTGGCCTGGGCATATTTGGGACCTTGTAACAGGCCTGCCTATGGAGCCTATGCCTTCTCACCTGCATTACCACCAAAACATCACACTCAGCTACTTCAAATCTATCCACCCAGCAGACTAGCTCTGAAGAGCTACTGGGCCCAGCACCCAGCAGTGAAGGAGGTGGTGTTGCTGTCATCTTTGGGGGCTGTATATAAAATCATCCTCTGAAATCTTTTATTATTAAAGAGTAATAGTCATCAGTTAAAAAGTGATAAGCTCATGTTGTCATTATGGGAATGTTTAGCAGTCATGAGGGCACATGCCTGGGTCTAAATTCACATTTGCCAACTTAACTGGGTGTGACCTTGGGTCACTTACTCTTTGGGCCTTAGTTTTCTCATTTACAAAATAGGGAAAATAATTGTGCCAACCTCATAGCAGCACAGCAGTCAATATAAGAAAACGCTTTAGGCTCAGCGCCTATAGCTCAACCGGCTAAGGCGCCAGCCACGTACACCTAAGGTGGCGGGTTCGAATCCCCAGCCCGGACCCGCCAAACAACAATGAAGGCTGCAACCAAAAAATAGCCGGGCGTTGTGTCGGGTGCCTGTGGTCCCAGCTACTTGGGAGGCAGAGGCAGGAGAATCGCTTGAGCCCAGGAGTTGGAGGTTGCTGTGAGCGTGATGCCATGGCACTCTACCCAGGGGGACAGCTTGAGGCTCTGTCTCAAAAAAAAAAAAAAAAAAGAAAACGCTTTAAAAAGTGCTTGAAATAGAAGAAACACTAGATACTATTAGAAATTACTTCTAATTCCAGACTACAGAAAAGGATTTTGAAAAGACAGATTTGGTATTTGGGTAAAGACTTTAACCAATCAATTTTACAAAGAACATCTCCATTTGATGGAAAATTAGCCTAGCAAGCAAACAAAAAGTAAAAAGGACATGCTTCAAAATTACCTTTTGGTTATGTTAAATTTTTAAAAAATTTTTAAATGACAAAAAAAAAAAAAAAAAAAAACCAGGAAGAAAATTACTACTTAACCAGATGTCATTGGTAGAGAAGTAACAGTGACGTACGTGCTGAAGAAAGCAAGATCCTATTTCACTTAAGTGAGGTTCCTCTTTGTTGTACTGTTTCTCAAGGTCTTTCAGAAACTTTCTTTGGAATTTGTAAATATCTTCAATGTTTCCAAAAATAGTGGCTAGTTGTGCAACAGTGAACATTCCCGTGTGCTTGCGGCACTGTCGGATATAGCCCTGAAAAACACAAAAGTAAACTTTTTGGTTTAGGTGGAAATTCAAAGAAATTCTTTATCTGAATGATACAGTTCTGGGGGCCTAAAGCCATGATCCTGCGGTGCATTTTAATGACAGAAAATAACAAAAGGAAAGTGAAAAGGTTCACATGGTTGGATTTATAATCCAAGGAACCGTATCATGTTTCCAGAAACAAGTTTCAAACACCGGAGCTCAAGAATTGACATGGTCGCGCTTTTCCCCAACTCTTAAGATAATCATTCTCCCATCCCTAATTCCACTTTACAGCTGAGAAAACTTGTCAAATGCAGTGTCATCACTTGCTGAACAGCTACTGCAACTCTGCTCACTGTCAGCCCTGGCACGCAGCCAAGGACGTCTTACCCGAGGACTCTACCACCACCGTCTGTAGACAGCATACCTCTGTGGACTTCATCAGAAGCCGACACTAGTGAAGAACATTAATTCTCCACATACAATACCATAGTTATACTATACGGTGTGGGCAGAAGCCAGTGGGATGGGAAAAAAGGCTTTGCATATGTGTAACAGTTACCTCCAAAATAGCGTCATGCCATTGAATAGACTAAACTGACCATATGGTAAAACATATACCACTAACTATGTAGTATGAATTTCATCAGAAAACCAATATACTGTAATAGTTCAGAGTGCAGGCTCTGGGGCACAAACCAGCTGGGTTTAAATCCCAACCCTGCCAGTTAATTTCTCTATATGCCTCAGTTTCCTCATCTATAATAGGGAGCTACAGGATCTGCCTAGTGAGAATGTTGTAAGAGTTAGTCCAGGAAAGGTATGGAACAGAGTAAATGCTTGACAATCACTAGCAATTACCCTAATTTCCTAAAATGCCACTTGAAAGCCACTTCTTTCACCATACGTTTATACACAGTAAGATGGTTGGCACTGATAAACTGAACACTGGTGTGTCTATATGGCTGGCTAATCCCATCCCAGGACAGCCTTCCATGCTGAGCAGTCACAGCTGAATTGATAGTGCAGACATCAGCACCACAGCTAGGGGAGCTGGAATGATCCCGCCAGGCAAACAACAGTTTAGCGTGATGCTGAAACAAAATCCATAAAAACAAAAAGTAGCACCGGAGGAAAAAACCCTTTCAGATACCCATCTACTAATGGTCCAATCTCAGAAATCAGGACAAGACTACAAAACTTACTGCCAAGTAGAATGCCGTAACATTACAGGGCCTTGAATATGACTAGATAAAACCAATTCCTATCCCTCCGGCTGTATCTAACTGACTCAGAATGTTGCCTGTGAGTTAGTTGACTGGCTGTGGTGGGGTTGCAGAGAGTGACAAACTTTGATTTTCTGTAAAGTCAAATAAGGGTGTGGCCTTCCGTGAAAATCATTCACTTTAAATAAGCTTAGGAGTTAAGTCCTGAAAGAGACAGTTGCAAAATGCCCTGAAGAGAGGACCACTGCGCCGACGGGTTGGCTGGTGGTGAGGATTGTGGACACTGTGTACCTATCAGCGTCGGACTGGGAAACCCCATGGGCCCATCACGCAGCTGTGTGCTGTGGCCCTCCAGGAGATCTGACGGCTGGCATCTTACCTCACAGATGTCCTTGAGGTGTTTGATGTAGACCCGCTCAGTGTTCATGATCTCCTGGATGACGTTCGTCCTCATCTGGTGCTTATTCTCAGAGTGCCTGTGGTGGACGTGGCTGGCATCCTCGTCTGGCTCCTCACCGTGGGTGCCGCTGGAGTTCTCCGACAGCTCTTCCTGATTAACTCGCAACTGCAGTCCACACAGAGGGGACAGGTAATGCAGGGCAGGGAAGGCGAAGACACACCCCTTCCCAGGTTCCACGTGTCTGTGACTAGTTAGGAAGGCAGCCTGGCCCTAGTGTTGACTGACTTAGCACAGGCTCGGCCATGCCAACAGGCACACCAACCACCACAGCAGCCACACCAGACGACGTGTTTGCCTTTATTAAAGTTTTTACTTCGACCCAGCCTACTTTCTTACACAGGGGTCCTCAAACTTTATAAACAGGGGGCCAGTTTACTGTCCTTCAGACCGTTAGAAGGCCGGACTGCGAGCCCCAGGACGAGTCAGCTGCTAAGCAGGACAGGCAGCGGCAGCAAAAACACCCGGTGGGCCGGATAAATGTCCTCGGTGGGCCGCATGTGGCCCACGGGCCATGGTTTAAGGACGCCTGTATCTTACAGGTTTGACTTGCGTATCCGCTGAGAAACAACTAAAAAAGATGCAAATCTGTATAGTGAGTGAGATTTGGCCTGAAACCAGGCTGCTGCTTCCCCCACAGATGCTTTTTAATACCACAAAGTGACACACACTTACTCTGACAAAGCTCGCAGGGAACCAGGCTTCCTTGTCCTCATTCCGGCCCCACCACCAGTCCTTATTAGAGGCTTCCAGAACCTGAATGACATCACCGGCCTTGAAGCCCAGTTCCTGGTCATCCATGGTCACATGGTCCCACAGGGCTTCTGCGCAGACCACATTGCCATCGCAGATCAGCTGAAACAGAGAAGAGGGGGTGCTGAGCACAGATGGCAGGTGGGCAGGACAGCAAGGGAGCCACCGTGTGAGTGCTCTCAGGGTGGCACTGACACTTTCTATGCCTTGCTGGGATATGCCGGTGGCATCTGGTCAGTCCTCACGGTTTGACTGGTTAAAATAAACTGCAGAAAACATGCTGGGGAAAACAACATCGGTCGGCATCTTTACCTGCTCGTAAAGGAAACTCAGAATCTGCTTTTTAAAAATGTATAAATAGCTGTAGATCAATTATCTAATAAACTTGACTATCTGGAATATTTGCTCCAAAAATGGATTCTGAGCATCTTCATAGGGCTAAACCTTCTAAAGTCATGCAGATGTTACTGGAAGCCCAGTGCACATTAATCATATTTTATTCACAATCCGAGTAAGTTCTGTATCTGACTCTATAGTTCACTGCAATTAAAGAGATCACAGCCTGATCTTGGGATGTCTGGCCGCTGGCACAGCCTATCTGTTCACCGGCTGCAGGAGTGTTGTCTCTGCACACCTCCTTGGCTCCCAAGGACACACTACCTCAAATCCTACAGCCATAGCTGGTGATCTCAGTGGAGATGCTAACTCACTAAGGAGGACCACACCATACACTCTGCTCTCAGACGCCAAAAGCTGTTGGGGTTCTAGAAAATATTTCTATAAAAAGGGCTGATGTTACTGTGAGATGGAAAGATTACAGATTTGGAGTGAGCAATATATGGCTAATACCAGCTCTTGCCATTTGCTGTAATTTAATATCTTCAGCTGAGTGTTTATTAAAATGGACATAACAAGCGTAATGTTTACCTCTTAGGTCAGCTGTGAGGGTTATACAGATAATGAAAGGGAGAGCACTTCATATACTGTGCAGCACTATCCAAACGCCGATGACTGTGCTTTTGTTACTTAAAGAGATGGGCCTCAGTTATCCTGAAAGCTTAATCCCTTCAATTTTCCCTGACAAGGCCAGAAAATCACAGTGTGGTTCTCATCAGAGTTTTGGGTTTTAGAATGTATTGTTAAAAATAATCAGCAAAGTCTGAAGTGGTTGTGGACCCTGAAAATCAGGTATTTCGTATCTGTTACGACCTTGTGGAATCCCAGTACCTCGTTAATGGCCAGCTGTTCTCCACCCGGCTGCAGGTACCGAGGGTTGGCCTGGCAGAGGTCTTCATAGCTGAAGTCCTCCTCACTACCATTGTCGTCGACTAAGGCAGAGGACTCAGTAACTCCATCTGAAGAAACTAAAAGCAAAACAAACAAACAAAAAAACAATGCTCCTGGTTCAAAAGATACAACAAAAATTTTTCTATAATATAATAAAACAAATGACCTTTGATAATACACACCCCAGCGAAAAGCAATCATTTTTAGGTTACCGGAGTAACGGATTGGTAGAAGATTTCTACAGATATATTAATCCAAAGGTAGCAAGTGATGCTAAATGTTACATTAAGTGAGAGGCGGAATATTTCAGAGAGTATTGCCCGTACGATGTTATTTTGAGAGTAAAGATACTGAGTAAATTGTTTCTGATTTAATCGGAAATCTGTGCTCCAAAGTGCATATAAAAATATAAATACAGATAACAATGTTTCTGAGCAGGTGGTGCCTGTGGCTCAGTGGGTAGGGCATCAGCCCCATATACTGAGGGTGGCGGGTTCAAACCCGGCCCCGGCCAAACTGCAACAAAAAAATAGCTGGGCGTTGTGGCGGGCACCTATAGTCCCAGCTACTCGGGAGGCTGAGGCAAGAGAATAGGCTAAGCCCAGGAGTTGGAGGTTGCTGTGAGCTGTGTGATGCCACGGCACTCTACAGAGGGCAATAAAGTGAGACTCTTGTCTCTACAGAAAAAAAAAAAACAAGAAAAAAAAAAAAAACAATGTTTCTGAGAGATGTGTTGATAAGCTGGAGGAGATGAGATGAGGAAAGCTATAGTTAAGTATTCTGCTTCTGGCTTGTATCATCTATAAGGCAAGGGTATTACTAAAATCCAAAGGTCCAATTATCACACACAAAATCACAAAGTCACTGTTACTATTTGTCCACATATGAAAGGATTGGAACTATTAATATCCGAAGTCAGCATTATACAGCACCTTTACCAAAAAAAGAAAGATCTTTTAAGGAAAGATGGGCAGAGTGTTTTAGAATGACCACCCTGGGAGTCGAATTTTCCTTCTGTGTCCATGAGCTGCTCTCACTAAATGCTGATAGTTTGTCCCAGAGCTGAGAAGTGTTTCTTCTTTCAGATGGATGGCCGTAGCCTCACAGCACAAGCTCGGGGATGTCTGCATGTCTCCATCACTGTTTCTTGTATGGAAGGAGTATGAGGGGGTACAAAGCTGACAACAGATAGCCCCTGTCCTTAAGGGGCCAGGAGTACTCTGGCCAGGCTGGAGTAGACACCGTGGCGGAAGGGGACAGAGATAATGAAACCCAGATGCTGATGACTCAAGCCAGAAAATGGGAATACAAAAGGGGAGGTCAGAACCAAGTGGCAGGAGGATTTTAGAGAAAGGGACTCGAGTGCATCCAGTGAGAAGATGAACCTGGAAGGAAAGGCCAGGCGGCACGCTGTGGAGGGCCTCACAGGCAAGAGCTCACCACAGGCCTGTTCTGTCAGGGTTCTGAGTGGAGATCCCTGATGCACAGGAAAAGGCAAGGCTGAAGGAGCATGGAGGCTGGGTCTGAATTCTGACCCCGTCCCCCTGTAGGAACAGGCCCCAGACCAAGCCATGTCATCTCTCTGATTTCACGTCTTTCCTTCTCTTTGTAGAACTAGGCTACGGAATGTGTGAGGCTCCTAGCATCCTGGACCCACAGCTGAGACTCAGTAAGATGGAGGTACTGTGGTAATGGTGTCAGGTGCCTGAGGGCCGGGCCAAAGAAGGGCTGGCTACAGTGTGGAGGGAAGGCTGTCGGGGCAGAGCCCGGGGCCTCAGCAGCCAGCCAAGGAGAAACTGGGAACTGAAATCCATGCTTGGAGCACCCAAGGGACACAATCAATGATGTTTCAGAAAATCCCAAGTTCCTAGGAGAAAAGGGAAGCCAGAAAGTGAAGCCAGTGTGGCAGGAAGGATGGAGGAGATGGCCAAAGGACAGTGTGTCACTGCCCTGGCTTTTTCAAGGACTTGCAAATCCACTTTTACAGTGACTTTACCCGTGGAGGCTGAGTTTACTTCTGAACCGAAGAACTCTTTCGGGGGGTAGATATTTTACATTCTGGTTAATGTGATGTGCATTTTCCATGCCCAGCCCCAGACAGCCTCCCCTCTGCTCCCTTGTCACTCAGCCACGCTGGCGTTAAGGGCAACAGATTTTATAAACAGAGCCTGGAATCCTTACACTAGAAAAATGAAAACTGCTGAAATAGATTCATAACAATGGGGGGTAATCAATGCTGTGATAAGCCCCAGGGTGCTATTTCATGCACTGGGCTCTTAGCTCTCCCACCAGTGAGCCAGTGAGCGTTGTGTGGAGCACACCGAGCAGGGGAGGGTGGGGGACGGGGGGAGTGGCAAGGTGTGGACACTCAGCCGACTGGCCCTTTCCCAGCCTGGGCCTCCTCTCAGACTGCTCCAGCCACCTCCCCACCGGCTGTCCCCCTGCTATGTGCCTGAGTGACACAGCACCCTCCCCACCTGAGTCAGGACTGCTCACAGGCCCCTGCTTTCTGACTGCTCCCTTACTGCCTGCAGTGTCCCCTCCACAGCAAAGCTCCCACAACACAGGCACCACTGAAGGCCTCCTTTGAGCCCTCAGCCCTCCCTCCACGCTTCCTGTGCCAGCACCTGCCACCTTGGGTCATGACCGTGGTCTGCTTATCTGTGCCCCAGCGTGTAAGTGCCCAGGCTGGTGCACTGGACATGGGGATGGCCAGGGAAGCTCAGAGGGGCTGATGATAGTGAAGCCAAGTGCGAGCTCCAGGCGTGGACAGAGTCTGGGCCTCTGGACTCTCTCCCCACCCCAGCACCCCCTTATTATGCCCATCCCCAGCCTCTCCCAGGACTTGTGTCTGAGAAGTAAGAGGAGGAAGAGCTTCCTGGACCTGAGCAGGGAGCCAACAGTGGACAAAAGCTCTCTGCAGCCCTGGTGGCCCCCTGGGTCCATGGATTTCTTACTGGTTTGCCAAGGGAGGGGGCAGCCTGGCTGGGGCTGCGAGGAGCCTGTCTGGTGTGTGTGCATATGTGTCCCTGTCTCGCGGGAAGCTGCGGCAGGAGGCCTTGAGAAAGCCAGCCCTGTGCTGTCTGAGGCGTGTGCTCAGGGCTGGGCAACACATGGTGACTGTTCCTTTCTAAATGTAACTTCCACTTCCTGCGCTGTGGCCAGAGCCCTGCAGGCGGAGAACAGGAGGTCACCTCATCTAGAGTACTTTCCTGAGGGGGGGTGTCTGGGGCTATGGGGAGGAAGTCTTGAGGAAGAAAACATTTCTTTCTTGCATGAGTATGTCTTAGAGTACAAAGCAAACAACGCTAAGGCTAAAAGCCTGGAGCAGACCCCGAGCCCCAGTGACCATCTGCTTAGCAGCTGCAGTACCTAGGGCTCCTAGGGAGGAGAATGCATACACTCCCTTGGTCTTTCAGGGGCCCAAAGCAGCAGGAATCTTCCAATTGTGGTGAGCACAGATCTGGCACAGCCTGGCACCGCAGCATTTTTCCTTATCATATTTAAGCCATGGTTGAGCCAAGAAAAAAACAACACTCAATGAAATCAAGGCCTCCTACTTAGAGCAAAGCCCGGAAAATGACACTTTCTCCTCAAAGAATTTCTGAACATATTTTCCCAGGGAGAATGCTTTACCATCTTATCTAGCTGTTTCTGAGAAAATCAGTAAAGGAAAAAAATAAAAGCCAGTAGGAATCCCGTACAAATCCATAGAGCCTGGCCACCCTGCCTCCTCCCAGCCCGTGGGCTCCCTCGGGCAGCCCTGCCCCCTAATTACCAGGCATTTTTTGAGACCCCCTCCCATCTCTCTCAAACTGCTCTGGTCCCACCAAGTGGTCCCTGCCGGGGGCTGCTGTTCTTGTGCTTAACGCCCCTTCCCAGACACGTGCACCCTGGCTCCCCGCACTCAGCCAGGCCTCCCCTAACTGTCCTATTTAAAATTGTAACTCTCTGGCTGAGTTTTCTCTAACATTGTCACCATTCTGTTCTGACCTCTTTCAGGTAGGTTCTGTTCATTGTCTGTCTAGAGTATAAGCTACAGAAAGGCAGGAAGTTTTGTCTGCTTTATTTATTTATTTTTTAAGACAGCGTCTCACTGTGTCACACTGGGTAGAATGCTATAGCATCATAGCTCACAGCAACCTAAAAACTCTTGAGCCATTTTTTTGCCTCAGCCTCCAGAGTAGCTGGGACTACAGGCGCCTACTATAATGCTTGGCTAGTTTTTCTGTTTTTTTTTTTTTTTTAAATAGAGGCAGGGTCTCGCTCTTCCTCAGGCTGGTCTCGAACTCCCAGAGTGCCAGGATTATAGGTGTGAGCCACTGCATCTGGCCTGTCTACTTTATTCTTAACTGCATTCCTAGCATCTAGACCATTACCTGGCACACACGGGTACCTCGTAAGTACTGGATGGATGGAAGGAAACACAGCATGATGACTCACTGCAAGGTGTTGGGGACAGACAGATCTGCCTGCAAATCACAGTGCTACACAATTTATTGTAACTTTTCTTTTGAGTATGAGTCCTTGGTCAAGTTCCCTTCTCCATTTTTTCACCTGTGGATTGTGGATGATGCCGCCCTTCTCTCAGGGGTGTTTGTAAACTCCCAACAAGTAATTGCACAGGTTTGCTGCAAGCCTCAAATGAAATAATACATGAAAGCACTCTGTAAACTGAAGAACAGTCCAGAGTGGCAAGATGTTATGTTAGCAGGGCTCACAATGGGCCGGGAACTGGTTTTAGCTTTTTTAGGCCAAATCAGCTCAGATAATCCTCATGACAATGCTACGTGGTGGATACTGTTAAGTCCCCCCGGTATGCAGATGAGTTAACTCAAGTCTCACTTCACAGGGCTGAGTGCCACAGGCCTAGGCTGTCTAACTCTCGTCCACTAGGCAGCACTGCCTCGTCCAGCAGTACCTCTGTTACTAGAAATAAGAAAAAGCTCCTGGACAGGTGCTGAAAATAGCTTAGCAGCTCTATACCATTGTGAAGAGTAACCGTACTCACTGGTCCTCAATGGGGACTGTCAATGGCCTGATTCGATCACCTGTTTCTATCCCCCCTTTCCTTCAT